GGGCCGCTCACACTGGCTGCTGGCCACACATGGCAGCCCATGGCAACCCACTGAAGCAGGGACTGCAGCCTATGCCGTCGCCGGTGACTCGCGGCAGCCCAGCTCCAGGTTGAGCTGTTGTTCAGCATCTTAGCTGTGGAGGGCAGCGTCACTGGCCCTCATATGTGGGATCCGAACTGGGGCCCTCTGGCGTCCCAAGCCAGTTCTTAACCAACGCGCCACTCGGCCGGCCCTCTCTTTTTTTTAATAGATTATTTTTTAGAGCAGTTTTAGCTTCACAGGCTTTTATTCTTCATATGCTCTCCTCCTTTTTTTCTTCTTTCCCTCTACACTGAGCTTTAGAATTTTTATGTCCTGTTTTCTGAGTGCAGCTTCATGCTCCTGTTCTAAAGTTTTTTCTTCAAGTTACTATAAACTGTGATTGTTTAGTAAGTGTTCTAACTCTGCAGCTTACGTTTAAAAGATGGGTATTGCAATCATAAGTTATTTTTCACTCCCATTAAACCCTTGACTGATTCAACAACCCCTCTCCCCCATAACTTAAAGTGAATGGCTTTCAAACTTTCAAAACTTTTTCTTTTTTAACTCTTCAGGCTCCCAAACTAAGACATTTAAAATTGCAACCCAGTACATATACATACATGTAAATGAAATAAAAGTTCCATGAAACAGTACTTACCTTCACTACTTACTCTTACAACAAACACTCTTCTATTCTCTTCTGGTTCATATCCTCTAAGATAGGTTTTGACCAGTTTGAAAAACATGGCCCTAAACACTGTAAGTCTTTGGGAGTGGAGCCCCCCAGTGACCATTCACACACATGTGCACTGGAAACTGATGCAGGAAATAAAATCATATCTCCGACATCATATTTTTTCCGAAAATTGGTGGTTACAAAGATCAACTGAAAGGCAGAAAATAAAATGTGTCTGGAAAAATTAGGACTTCAAAAATGACAAATTGCAATAAGCGCCAGTCTTTTGGTGAAATAGAAGGCACGTTTATTACTGCATATCACCAAGCAGTCTAGACTGGTCTGTCTAGACTCTTTAAGGTTTTAGTAAAATATTGTGATTACGCCTGAATGCACCAAATTAGCTAATGGTGCTGTCATTTTTGGTGTCTAGAACAAAAATGTGTTTCTAAGTCTATACAATATCTTACAATTAAATATTTGTGATTATGAGTTTGCACCTCTTAAGAACTCAACACATTTTGTCAATTTACCTTCTTCTCAGAAATGCAGACAATACAGCCTTGCCATCCTCCCAGAACAGGCAACTGAATTACTGAGTCTGTGGGCATATTACTGGGAAAATGTTTAGCGTGGACAGCATGAGTGACAGGAGTGGTGGGCTGTAATGACACTCTCTTTCTTCGGAGAGGACTTAGAGGATATAACCCAACTTCTTCATCCTGCAAACAACACTGAGGTCCGGATTGCAGCAGTTGGCCCTGAGAAAATGAGACCACAGACATGGATGTTGGTTTGGGGCTTACGCCCGGGCCTCTTCCCTTCTTGTGTGATGTGGTCTGGCATTTACCTCTCTGAAGGCTATAGCCACAGTGGACATGGCATTTACTTCTCTGAATGCTATAGCTACTGTGGACTCACCACCTGCGGCAAGTCCACTATCGTCAGTACATCTCAAGACAAGCATTTTCAGAATGATTTTGATAGAGAAACTGGGGAAACTTCTGCCTTATAGTTAGCACCTTGGGCAGACTTATAAAATCACAAAATCACAGGAAAGGCCCTCTAGATTTCTCAGTCCAAATGAGGGTGTTAAGGGCCTGCCCAACACGGTGTCAAAAACTACGACTAGAACCCATCTCAGCTTTCCCTGCCAAAGCTCTTTCTGCAAAACAGGGAGGCCTGAAAAGGAGAATATGAGTTTTGTTTTCCCTTCACAGTGCCTTTCCAATACGGTAACGAATTATGCATCTTTGATAGGTTTCATGTTCTACACTGTTGAACTTGGGTGACATGTTTCTGAAAAGGTTTCTCTGATATCCATTGAAATACTCCCATTTGAGATGAGAAAGGAGCAAGAAAATTCATTTCGTGAGTACAAAGTCCTCCTTTGCCCTTTTGAAGTAAGTCCCAACGTGGAGTGGCCTTAAGGAGAATGCGATTTGAGATCAATGAGACCTTAGTTCATGCGCCAGCTCCCCCTTCCTAGCTGATGGGTGTTATGTGTTTTTCAGACTCATTTTCCTCCATTGGTTAAAACGAATAAAAAAACCAATTCCACCTACATGGAATTGTTAAAGTAACATATTTGTAAAGGCAGACGGCACATAGGACACTCAAATTTCAATTATCCTTTACTTTAAATTGGCTAAAAAAGTGACTTTCTGTGAACTGAGTTGTATCTTCAGTCTGTTCTTGCATATATATTTCCATGGGAACCAAGCTTTGAAGTTTGGTACAGGAAAGAGAGATTATAGAAACCTTGTATTTCATGGCTGGTACAGGTGTGGGGGTCTTGGAATTGTCTGGAACACACAGTGACTTTCATTCCCTATTTAACAGCTCAATCACCCCAACTTTGGGATCTGTCTCCAGCTAATCCTCACTCCTTCACCTTTTACCAATCTCAAATAAAACAACAAAGGTAACTCTTAAGTTTCCAACTCTGTTGTTTTTTAGATGTCTAATAAAACTATTAACAAACAGTCATTTGGTTCTAAGGGGGTCTTAGAAAATCTGAAAATGTCATAAACTTGAGGTTTTAGGCGATGATAGTCACTATCATTTATTAGGGACCTAAGGACTAGGCAATCCCCAGCATTACTGCTGAGTCCTCACGACCACCTCAAGAGGTGGGAACCATTATCCCCAGTCTGAAAGCTGAAGCTCAGGAAGGCGAAATAACCGGCTGTGCCCTGAACGCCTCGGCCTGCTGTTCCGCCTGGTTTGTGCGTCCTTCCCCATTATACTGTCCCTCCTCCTAGGCTTCTCCAGCACTTAGTCTGTGTTACGTCATCTTGTCTTGTTTAGGGTTAAATTTATCTCATAATCTATCTCAAAAAGATTGTAAGCACCACTGTGTCCCCATCCTCAAGCACTTTATTATTATTTTTTAAAAGATTTTATTGGGGAATCGGGGAAGGGGAACAGACAAGTTGCTGTCCTTTTGTTCTTCAGTCTAGTTGTGGAGGATGTCGCTTCACTGGCCCATGTTGGTATTATCATTGCGCTCTTCCTGGGTGAGGCAGTTGCTAGCCTGTCATTGGACGGCCACTCATGACAGCTCACAGCAGCTCACGAAAGCTCACACCCGCTGCCGGCCAGCCCCACTGCAGCCTGCGCTGTTGCCGGCGGCAACTCACGGCAGCCCAGCACCAGGTCAGGCTGTTGTTCACCATCTTAGCCGTAGAGGGCGCAGCATCACTGGCCTACATGTGGGATCTGAACTGGGGCCCTACTGCTCAGAGCTGGCGTCCCAAGCCAACTCCTAACAAACGCGCCACTGGGCTGGCCCAAGCACTTTAGATAAAATAATCTACAAGTCATAACTGGGCTAAGAAATGTAGAATAGGGATGAATTTCTTCTGGGAAAAAGAAAGGTTTAGTTAGCATATTTCATATTTTAATGGTTGCAAACTTGAAAACAATTTCTCTTTAGCTAACTAGCCTCAGAAACTTTCCATGTTTCACTTTAAACTCTGCAAACGGACTATTTGGTAAATAAATGAATGTAGAAAAAAGGTATTTGAGTTTGACTGGTCCTTAAGAGCCTACAGACTTAGAAAATGATAAAAACATACTACTATCCAAATCTGGAAGAACTTGGATTTAAAGAACTTCAAAAGGACTAAGTGGCAATTAATTTTGTCCATTTGGAGTGAGTGTGACAATACTGCCTAATACACAAGCTATGCCGTCAGCCACATCACTTCTTTCTGGGACAGTTTCTTCAATTGTAAAATGACTAACTTTAGTAGATCAAGTTTTTTCATACTTTGACCACTAGCCATAGCAAGAAACTAATTTTTATCATGACCTAGTACATACACATTTATATCTGAAACAAATTTCATGAATAAGTGAACTTGTACAGTGCATTTTGATATTTCCTGTCATATTTTCTCGTATTAAAATCTGGTTGTCACTCACTAAAATGATCCCATGATCCTCTATTTGCAAAGTATAAAAACACTAAGTGATCTCATATTATCTAAGAATACTCTGTAAGAGAGTAGAAAGGTAATTTCCATCTTAGTCTTCCCAAAGTTCTTAGAAAATGAGATTTTTACTGTCTTTAGCATTCAGTGAACGGCAGGCAGTGTCACTTCCTCCAGTCATTTTATAGGATTCCCTTCCTGGCAGTTCAAGAGCACACTAGCAAAAAAAATGTTCTTTTTAGGAACTTTATAGGCTGTAATGTCTTAAGATGTAGCAAAGACTAAGAAAGTGACAGTGCTCTGATTTTTCTTAGTGGATTCCCCCGCCTAAGTTGTAAAATGGAGCCTCTTAATTTATCTTTTCCTGTCATAAAACTCATGAAATTTCCTGCGCAGTCCCCTAGCCCTTTAAGCAGAGAGTTGGCCTGGGCAGTACAGAAAAAGTTTTTCCCAGTATTAACCAAGAGGAGACATAAAACGTCAACTATTTTCTGTGGGACATTCTGCAATGTTTACAGTTCTGGCTTGCCCCGTGTCCTTCAATGAGGGGTGACAGGTTCTTATGACTTGAAAAATGTCAGGGCAGACAAGAAGTCTCTAAGCAAACCCAAGAAGCATCCAATTAACTTTGTTTACACAGATGCAAAAGCACGGAAAGTTATACGGTAAGGTCCAAATTCCAAAGTTTGTTTTGTTTTTAATTACACACCCAACCAAGTGCATAAAAATCGCACAAAATGAGTGCAGTGAAGATGTCATCATTTCTATTTTTAGACTGGAGCTCATAAAGCGAGGCTGTCATAAATTTTCACTTGGGGACAAAACGACTTATAACCAGGGAAAAAAGGCATACACACACCCAAATCTAACAGTGGTAAACAGTTTTTTAATCAGGCAATGAAACATGGGAAAAATATATTAGTAATCATTATAATAATTTCATTTGTGTGAGTATAACTTTTACAAATATTTACCTGACATATAAAAGGGAAATTACTGTGCATATAAAATTTATGTAGATGATTATTCCACACAACACAATCCTGATAGCAGTAGTCAATGCAGCGTTCATCCCTCAGACAAGAGGCTCCTCACACACTTCATGGCACCCGCGGAGACACAGTGGAAGCAGATGTGCAATTAACATTTACTTGTTGGCACACTAGTACAAAGGGGTATCTACTGGCAAACACACAACTTGCTAACAACGACACTGAAAAGTTTACTGCTACCTCTGAGATTTTTAAAAAATGCCTGGATCCTGTCCCACTGGGTAAGAAGGACCAAGGCTGAGGCTGTGGGTGTGGCAACCAACAGACCGCCCTGGATCTGGACTGGGGGTGGAGTCCAGGTTCAAAGTCTTATATGTCCACTTGGAAATTATTCATAAATATAGAATATAGGTTAACACTGTGACTAGGAAATTGTTTTTGGAGTACATTTCAGATACCACGAAAAGGCAGAGGGGGAGAAAGTGGCATCTTTACAGTTCTAAAGTGAAGAATCATTACAGGGAGGGTTCAAGCCACACCTCAGCTCCATGCCTGGCCTCCTCCAAGTGAATTAAGAATGCCAGCATCGCACGCAACATCTCCATATTAGAACTATAACCAGAATATATATATATATATATGTATATATATACATATACATATATATACATATACATATATATGTGTGTGTGTGTATATATATATATGTAATAGCTGTAACCATATTATAGTTAATAAAGTCATTCCTTAGGAATCTTGTTTGTCCAAATCTAACTGCATGCTAAGAGGCACAGAAATGGGATTGCATTTGGATGAAGAACTACGAAAAGTGCAATCTTTAGTCTCCAGAATGCTAGCTCTGGGCACTATGCAGTGAGTCTTCCCCGAAATATTGTCGTTTATATTATCTTCCAGAGGCGATCTTTAGAGAAGTGTCCAATTTTTTTTTTTACCTTTACTATATGGGAGACTCAAGGTTTGAGTAATAAATTGCTTTTTAAAACTCACTGGAATCTGGAGGCCAGTCAAACCCTTTTGGACAGAAGTCTCCTCAAAATACTTCTTGATTAAAATCTTTGAAGATCACTTCTTAGACCTTTGGCTTGACATTCTGGGATTCCCAGACTATGTTTGTTCTTTAATAAGCAAATAATAATCTGCCATCTCTTAAATTCATCAGAGTATATACATTTTTACTTTAAAATCCTTTGCCTGAATCATTTAATCTTTCAACACCTAGTTCCTCTCTTCCCAACAAGAGGATAAAGAAACCCAAGTCCAAGAGCAAGTGCACATGGTCACAAAACTACAACAAAGAGACAACAGTCGCGTACAGGTCATGAGATGGCCATTAATTGTAGTGAAAAACCAAAAGGAACTCAAAAGGGAGCTTTAGAGCTTTTACACCACTAGAAAAGGATGTGCTGAATCAGTTCCAGCAAGTGCACTCAAGATTTCCAATGCTTGCTCTTTAAAAATTCCATTTTGGGCTTCAGTTACCTATTTACAGTGAGTGCTTCACTCTGGCCACTTTTAGATAGCCCCGCAACATCTGGGGCAGTTTACTCTCCCTGTTTACAAATAGTGCAACTCAGGGCTGTCTAATAAAGATCCAAGTATTTGTGTGAGAGTTGCACAAAGTGTGGGACAGGTAACTGGCTAGAAAGAAGAGTCAACTTGAGCGATCCCCCAAAACCAAACATAAACCTGCCCTTAGATTCCATAGCATTCTGGAAGGCTGCCAGATCCTGAGTTTTGCACCATCGTGTGCTTCTGCACTTCCTAATTTGGGCTGGGTCTGAAGTAGCTATAAACCACGTGAGAAAACTGGGCTTCTCAGTATCTCCAGAACAATTTTACAGAACAAAAGGTTTGGGCAGGTCACCAGCGTTCAGGAGCTTCTCCTAATAGAGTAAAATCTCAGGAGGTCTGACTATAAGCGACCAGCCAACTAAGTCACAAATTGTTCAGTCTCCACTTAAAATACTTTTAGATAAAGATTATCTATCTATACTTTGGCAAAGTCAAGAACTAAAGAAATGGCTCTGGATCCAGCGTCTCAACAAGATCACCTAATACTCTCAAACCATGGTCTGAACCGGCAGCTTCATTTCTTTTCGCTCTTGTAACAGGGTTTATTATTGCCTAACTAACAAGTAAGGGGCCAAAACTCCAGGCTGTATTCTTACTCTCCAGAGTTCTCAAAATTTGGGTTTTTGTTTTTTTTTTGCTTATTTTTAAAGAAAAATAAACATACTTCACTCTGCCCAGTCTATTATCTTAATTTGCCAGCTGCACAAACTACATTTTTATTCTTGTTGGAGAATATCCACCTATTAAATTAGAAGGAAGGACATTTCCTTGTCAAGGTCATGGCTGAGAGGCCAGCGGCAAATGTTACTTCACAAGGGCCCTTTCGTAGTCCTCGCACAGCAACTTCATTCTAGGGTCTGATCTTCAAGGGGGTCTCTTTGACCAGTGTGCTAGGGAAGGATTGTCGTCACCTCTGTTTTCAACACATAGCTCCTTTTTTTAATACACAAAAAGCCTAAAAAGAGGGCTATGGATTTATAACGGAGGCCACTATAAGCCTTCTATGCTTAAAACAGATCAATATAAAACAAGTTAACATGGGTATGTCACCAAAACACAACAGCAAAAAGGTTTAGCAACGTTTCTTTCTGCAAAACTCAAAGTTAATTTCCCTAGTAGGAGAAGACTGAATGCGGAAATCGGTTACACTGACTGGAGACACCTGGACTCCACTGCTGCTGCAACCATAGTGCAGCGCTCATGCTAATCCAGTGACTATTTTCAAAGCCCAAATGATTGTCAAGTCAGTTCTCCAACCACAGATCGTTTCTCTTGTTCTTTTTTGTAAAAAATGGTTAAGACAACGGGCTTTAAAATACAGCCTAAGCACCGATTATAACAAATGCATATTGGTAAAACAAGACTTCTGGCTTTAAAAGACATTACTGACCTCCCTGGGGCTAAAGATTGCACCCATGTGAATAGTACACTTCTAAAGAAAAATTCAGGTTGCAAGATCTATACAGGTTCTCCACTAGGCACAAGTCATTGGTGAGGGTGGATCATGCAATAGTTTTACAAGAAAAGTACGAAAACTTACGTGTACTGAATATAGTGCATATAACCATGACTTTCAGGGTGTTACAATTAAGACAAAAGAGTGCTTTAAAACACTTACATGGATTTGGTTTTGCCTATAAAATGCGAGGGAATTCACTGGCATTACATGGAAATTTCCCATTTTAGGGATAATGGCCCCACCACTCTGAACCAAGTCCAGGAAGAGCTTGAGGAATTTGGTTTTGTGAGTGCGGATCTGCTCCCTGCACATCCTTCCCCAGTATTCAAATGGCCTTTGTTTAAAAATATTCAAAACACGCTGATTTTTGGAGTGGTTCACATGAATTTCTACTGCCCATTTTATTAAAAATTCTATCTCAAGTTTGAAAGGACTTCTTTTTGCCTTAAAGAAAAAAATCTGAAGAACAAGGCATCACACTGGTGAAAAACCATCTGTTTCTTCCCCTTATAATTGGTAATGGGGTTACAGGTACCTTTTAATTATATACGATCATCTAAACCTTTTACAAGTAGATTTTCTTGGCATATTTCAAATAAAGATAATAAAAAGTAAATATTGATCCTGTGGCAACAAATGGAAGCAGAGGAGACGAAATGGCTCTAGAATGGCCTTGCCAAACCCCAGCTCTCAGGGAGCCCCACTCTGCTGTTGATGCAGAAAGCAGACACGTTCCGCTTAAAGATTAAGCCCAAGGGGCCACATTCACACTCATCAAGGCTGAGGAGGCATACCAGGGCAACAAAACATGGTGAAAGCTTTCCCTAGATGGGAAACCTGAGCCTGGGGTTATGAGTCATGACAGACATGAGTCTGGGGTCTTCACATCTTCAATTGCCCCAAATTCTGAAGTTGGCATTCCAAGCCAGGACTCTATTGCAAAATAGGGTTTTACATTTATGGAAAAATGCTCTTCTGTAGAGAAGTTCTTATCTAATGATGCTTCAGAGAAAAATCAGCAGCACATGTAAATATATATGTGAGTGTGTGTGTATACGTGTATATAAATGGGTACTCAAGAGTCCCTTCTTGTTTTTAAACTGGAAGTAACAAAAGCAAAAATATCTCTTCAAATAAAACCACTAATGCTGAAAGTTAAATTTAAAAGATGAAATAAATAGGTCACACACAAAAAACAAAATCCAACAGGTGAAAAGGAGATGATCCCAACAGTAGCGATAAAATCATAAATTTAACGCACTTGGAAAAGTAAAAATGACTTTAACACGAATTAAAGATAGAGAAATCTCAAACCCAAACTTAGCGGCCTGTCCACCTGAACCTATTGTGACAGGCTCTAATCTGTCAGATGCCACTCCTGTGTGACTGTGCGATGCTCCAGGGCTTCTTCCAGGACTGTTGCGTCGGCAGCGAAGCGGGACAGGCAGCAGTAGGCATGTGCTTTTTTTTTTACAGTTTTTTTTTCTCTGCAAAGGAGCGATTATTCCTGGATAAGGCAAGATAATTGTGGTCACGAGAGAAGCAGCCAAATGCAGATCTGCTGAGCTAACAGGGGAAACTCAGTCAGTCTTTCCCAGCTTTGCGATCAGCTCATCACAGATTTTTGTCAGTTCTTCGATTTCTTGGTTCTGGAAGACAAATGACATGATTATTATGCAGGTCATATGTGTCCTGAGATAAAGGCTAGTATAGCTCAAGAGTCTCAACCCTCACTATACTCTTCCTAGGCCTCCTAACTCAGTGGCTCTTAATTTTTTCTACATCAGAGACCCTTTAGAGAAAGGAGAGCTTTGTATCTTCGCCCCTGGAAATAAATGTTCATGTGTGCATTCACAAAGTTATGCTTAAATTGAGTACAGGGTGAGGGTAGCCACTGGCCCTCTGTAGCTTGTCCATGAACCTCTGAGTTCCCAAATTTTCTTGTGATCATAGGCATTACCTGGGGTACTTGTTAAAAACACAAATATCTGGGCTCATTCAATCCATCCAGGGACCTGGGATTCTGGAGTTCAAGTATCCCAGGAACACTGTCTTAGGGGTTATCTGACCCCATGGCAAGAACGCTGTCCTAGCTGAATGGATGCAACAGGCATGAATACACAATTAGAAACAGAAAGAAAAACACCACAGGCATACAAAAAAATGAAGTCCAGGAATCACTGAGCAGTGAGAAATAGGGACTGCTGCTACCACTGATTTTTATTTATCTACTGAAGTTTCTTGACCATGCACCACTAGCACTTTGGGCTGGGTCAGGCTTTGTTGTGGGGGCTGCCTGTGCACTGTAGGATGCTTGGCAGCATTTCTAGCCTCTACCCACTAGATGCCAGTAGCATCTCCCAGTCGTGACAACCAAATATACCTCCAGTCATTGCCGAATGTCCCCTGCAGGGTAAAATTGCAATGAAGGGGGAAGATGGCTTCATATAGTACATAAAAAAACAGAAAGGAAGGAAGGAAGGGAGGAAGGGAGGGAGGACTCAGAGCCCGACTAAGCATTATTTGGTCCCCTGAACCTCAGTAAACACCACTTCCTCTCTGCACCCCACCTGTGACGGTTCCCACCCATACGCCTGGGAGTTTCACAGTTTGCCTTGTTTGTCTCCACCTGACTAGATAGATGTCTGGGCAAAAAGGCAAGGCCTCGTTCAACCAGATCCGCTGCAAGCTAGCCACGGCCAGGGACGAAAACCACACATCTCTGTGCTCACACCACGCCCCTCGCATACCTTCTGCTGAAGGGCCCTTTCCAGGGACTCCACCTTCATCTGTTCTTTCCGGAGTCCTGCGTGGAGAGCTGCACTCTCAGCCTTTGCTTTTGTTCGAACCTGAGCAATCTCTTCATTGGCTCTGTTCATGGTGGGGTTTTTTTGTAGAATAAAGGGACAAAAAGCACACAGTTAGTCATCAGTCCCACCTAAAAGAGAGGATATTCACCACCGACAACTATGAGACACAGACCTAAAGGAACTGACTTCATGACAAGGGAAAAAATAGGATTCGGTGACCTAAGTAATACAATTTTAATTTATAAAAACTCAGCTTCCAAGCAACTGCTAAGGAAATTTCCATGGTGTAAACCAACAGTAGAATTAATTTCAAAGGCCACATTGTCCTTAAAGTCATGTCACTAGAAAAAGGAATCACATGACAGTTTCTACAACAATCAGAAGTTTTTTTAACCCAGTACAAGGAAGGATCATCTTTAGGATCATCACAATTAAAAAGCCAAGATGCTAACCACTGACATCAATGCCACGCAATCCTAAAAGTGACTTTATTCATTAGGTGCAAAAGGAAACTTTAAAAAACCATACATGTCAGTTAATAAATAGCCAATTAAGGAAAGGATGCTAAAAACTCACTACTAATCAGAGGTATGCAAATTAAAGTGAAAAACTTTTAAAATTTATCAGATTGGCAAAAAGTAACAAGGACGATCTTGTCCCATGATGGCCGAGATACAAGGAAACAGACATCTGGTGTGCGAACTGGGGGAATGAAAACTGGCACTGTCTTTGTGGTAGGAATAATTGTAATTTGAAATGTGTAGCCCCTGCCCCGGGCCAGCAGTTCCCTTTTAATCATCTATCCACAGCACTATCCCCACATGGCACAAAGGCGACTGCACAAGGATGTTCACTGCAGCACTGTTTGCAATGGAAAAAAGTGTGAAACCATCTAACTGCCCATCAGTAAGGAATGGAATAGTCCTACAACCTAATAAAAATAATTAGACTAAACTATATGTTCTGACAGGGGAAAATGGCCACAATATATTATTAAGTGAGAAATGAAACTTGTACTGTGACTCCAGTATTACATACCAAAAAAATAAATAAATAAATAAAAAATCCAGAGCCATTTTGGGTAGTATTTGTAAAGGCACAAAGAAAAGACTGGAAGGATACACAATAAGCTTTAACAACAGTACCTTTGGGAGTGGGAATGGGAAAGGGGGAACTTAAAAAGTTTTACAAATAGGAAAATGTACAAATATATATTATTTTTTAGTTAAAAAAATCAAGTTGGATGCATCCTTCATACCACTCCTCTGGATAAATTCCAAATGTGCTAGATTTAAGGATTAAAAAAGTTAAGCCATAAAAGTACTAAAAAAAAAACCATGGGAGAATATTTTACATTCAGCAAGGAGAAGATATTTGTTACTATGACAGGAAATCCAGAAGCTGTAAAAAAAAAAAGGATACTTTCGCTGTATAAAAATTAATTTCTGCATATCAAAAAACACTATAGGCAGAGCCAAAAGTTAAATGACAAACTGGAAAAATTATCCACAACTTATATCACAAAGGCCTGGCATCCTTAATATAATAATATATTTATATATAATATATAAAATATATAAATGACAACAGAAAACTAGGCACAGAATAGTCATTCATAGTAAAGCAAAATATATGTATAGACCGCTATTAAAATGTTCAATTTCACTCATAAGATAAATATGAATCAAAACTACAGTTAATAAAATAAATGCCCTGTTGTTCTCCACCCTGCAATCCCAAACCCAACCAACTAAACTGAAATACCTTTTTTCATCTATCATATTTATGGACTACCAAAAATTTGATCTGTTGGCAAAGCTATAGGGAAGAGATGCTGTCATATATTGTGTAGGGATATAAAGTCTAATGAGGGCAATTTAACAATATTTATCATAATTATAAATTCATATATTCTTTGGCTCAGCAATTCCTTTTCTATATTAAGGTAACTCACATGCATGCCTAATGATAATTATAAAAGGTTACTTATTGTAGCACCATTTGTAGATTTTAAATAACCCGAATGTCCAACAGGAGGGGATCTGTTACAGAAATAATACATTCCAACAATGGAACACCACACAGCTGTTAAAAAAAAAAACATGAAGAAGCTCTTCAAGAATTGAAATGAAAATATTTCCGAAATATACTGCTAAATAAAAAAGCAAGGTATGCTATCATCTATATAAAAAAGGATATTCTCACATTAAAAAATGGTAATTATGTGACATGATGGAGGTGGTAGCTAATGTTATCACAGTGTAATATATATCAAATCAACACACTATACACCTTAAACTTATGCAATATGTCAATTATATCTCATAACGCTGGGGGGCGGGGGAAGAAGGGGAAAAAGGATATCTGGAAGGATAAAACAGTGATTACCCCCAGGTAAGAAAGAGGTGGAAACTCAGTGGAAGGAGGGTAGGGTGGAGGGAGATACTGTATATCTTATTCTTTTTAATGTTAGAACCATGGGAAGATTATACCTATTTTAAAAATTAAATTGGTCGGCTGAATGGCTCAGTTGGTTAAGAGCTCGCTCAAGAGTGGAAGCTCTGAGCAACAGGGTCACTGGTTCGATTCCCGGTCAGAGGTGAGCTGCCACTCAGCTGCCAACAGGTGGCAGGATGGCTCAGCTAAAAAAAAAAATTTAAACACACACACACACACACAAATGCAATATGGAGTTGCAAAACAGTGATTTTTATCTTGCTTCCATCAATCTTCCCACAATACCATGAAAAGTGCAAGTCTTATTATGTGTAAGCTCTTACTTGTCCAGTTTTTCTTCTGCATGGATTTTCAGGGCCTGATATCGCTGTTCCTCTTGTTTAACTCTGGCTAAGTAATCCTGAGCACACTTTTTCAAGGCTTCTTCATTCTGTTCCAAAGTGACAATTTAAAATAAAAGAAACAGGACATTTTTTCTTCTACTAGTAACATAACATATATCAGATATAACATATATATAACATTTTCTAAAAAATGAGAAAACCCAATTAATTCAGATTCCTTTATATTATACTCAATGGTAATTTGAAACAGGCACAAATAATTCCCACTGAAGAAATTCTAGAGGATTTATTCATGTATTAATTTTCAAGTCATACAATAAGGTTTAGTTACACTGGTACCTACTTTAAGAAGGCAGTTATTCAAAACTGAATGGCAATCTGATTCCCACTTTAGATAAATTGGTCAGCCTCATTTTTATTTTCATTGTTCACCGTTATAAATGTGTCTTATTGATGGTGTGCTACTAAATTAAACCAATATGTGCACTTACATCTAAATCTGAAACATTACATTTACTTTCCTCTAAAATATGCAGCCTGAATTTTTCAGTGCTATGATGAGAATCCCTTTACTTTTACTAATATTAAATTGGTGAATTATCAAAAAGACCATTTCCATAATTCTCCTAAAGTCTGAGGGTTCCTCAGTTCTTAACTCCATGCCATACTCTGGTTGTGTCTGGGGTTTATCAGCCTGACCCAGGAGAGGAATGACCAACATGACACCCAGTAGGCCAGACGCCTAAACAACCACATAAAGAAAAAGGTGGAAAAATTCTCCAGCTTCACTGAAACACAAGATACAAGGCCAACAGGGGCCCCGGGTCCCTATTTAAAAGGCTATCCACACACCTCTGGCATATACGTTTGAAGATCCACTACCAAGAAAATATACTCGCAATGAGATAGAAAGAAAAGGATATGCTACCTTCTTGAACCCTTCCAGAACGCCTTTCAGGTTCTCATATCTCCTGAAGAGATCAGAAAGGGACCTTTCCACAGAATTAAGGTCGGCCAGGGCCTGCTCCTTCTCCAAGGTCAGTTGCTGGAAGCTTTTCTGAGAGGTCATACTTGTCCGTTGTTCATCTTCTGTGAATTACAATCAAAAGCAAGGGCATATTCATTCAACAAATAGTTAATGGCTGCCCTCCTTGAGCTCATCAGTTTTCCATGGTGGGGACACAGCAGTGGACATAACAAAATTCCCACTTTCAAGACTTACATTCTAGTGGAGGAAGATATATGGCAATAAGCGTTGGGGGAAAAAACAAAGCAGGGTAAGAGAGGTGGAGTTCCTTTTTTATAGAGTGGCCTCACTCAGAGCAGCGATCTGAACGTAGACCCAAAAAACTGGGGTCAGGAACTCCCTGGGAGGATATTCCATGCAAAGGCCGTGTGCTGGGAAGGCATGAGGTGATGTGGACAGTAGAAAATACCATTTCAGTGCTGAAGTGCAGAAAGGCTGGACTGTGATTTAGGACTCAGTCATTACAATACTGGCTAGAAGAGGTTCTAAATTCAGTGCAGGAGGGTCAACGTTTTCATTTTGGAAAGACACCAATGGGTCAATGCAGGGAAAGTAGAACTTGTAGTGGAGTTAAGGCCACTGCACCACACTAGAGAGATCCCACTTGGTGGTGGTGGTGGTGGTGGTGGGGGTGGTATGAATGATGTGGCTAGGCCACCTACGCTCTGGGTCCTGGACTTTTCACAGAATCTAAGTGTCTGCCATCCTCTAAAATGAACCTAACTACAGTTGATCCTCATTATTCGTGGATTCTGTATTTGTGAATTTGCTTACTTGCTAAAATGTATTTGTAACCCCAAAATCAATACTTCTGGTGCATTCCTGGTCCTTCACAGACATGGGCAGAATGCCCAAAAAGTTGAGTCACCTGATGTACACGTTCTCAGCTGAGGTTGAACAAGATAACACCTTCTTGCCTTATACTACAAACAAGTGTCCTATTCACAGTCTATTTACTGCATTTTTTGTGTGTTTTGTTTTGCATTTTTGTGCTTTCTGTTGGTGATTTTGCTGTTTAAAACAGCCCCCAAGTATAGTGCTAAAGTGCTATCTTGTGTCCCTAAGTGCAGGAAGGCTGTGACGTGCCTTATGGGGAACATACGTGTGTTAGATAAGCTTCTCTCATGCATGAGCTGTAGCACTGTTGGCCATGAGTTCAATGTTAATGAGTCAACACTACATATCAAATAAAATATCTTTAAACAGAAACACACATAAGAAAAGATTATGTATTGACCAAAAAGTTGTGACCATAGGCTTGCATGAACCTAACCTTATATTTTCCCTAGAAGCACTATTTCAATATTTGCTAATTCTGTATTTGTAGCAACTTTATAGACCATAACTACCACAAATAATGAGAATTAATTGTATCTAAGTCATGGACAAATTGAAGTTTGTATCCTGATTTGAAAATCATCTAGGGATGGTATGGCTGATACCCTAGAAAAAAATTTCCTTACCAATCATTTGGGCAATAGTCTTTTCATATTCAGCCACAATTTTCCTTAAAAATAAAAAAATAAAATTATTATCAGAAGAGAATTTTTAGACAATGGAAGTTGGAGAAATGCTGCCCCAATTAAACACAATAACATATACTGACACATTTACATTACCTATTTATCTGCCTTAGGCTTTCTCTCTTTTTTTAATGTTAATGCAAGATTTGTTAATGTTCAAAAGGTTTTCCTTAAAATTTTACATGTAACAAGCCTTCATTCTATTTATAGAAAACATGCCTTCACTTTTCTTTGCCCCTATGTGAATGACCTCAAGGCAATAGATGAAGTTTGCTTACACAAATCAATCTTTCACAAAATAAGTTATAGTAGTCCCCCTTTATCGGTGGTTTTCTGTTCCACAGTTTCAGTTACCTGTAGCCAACTGCAGTCCGAAAATATTAAATGGAATATTCCAGAAATAAACAATTCTTAAGTTTTAAATTTTGATACATTCTGAATAGCATGATGAAATCATGAGCCACCCCACTTGGTCCCACCTGGGAGATGACTCATCCCTTTGTCCAGCATCTCCCCGCTGTACACACTACACGCCTGTTAGTCACTTAGCAGCTGTTTCCATTATCATACTCACTGTTGTGGTATCCCAGTGCTTGTGTTCAAAGAACCCTTATTTTACTTAAAAATGGCCCTAAAGTGCAAGAGTCATGATGCTGGCAATTTAGTTATGCCAGAGAAGTTTTAAGTGCTTCCTTAAAGCGAAAAGGTGAATATAGTACAATACGGTATTTTGAGAGACCACATTCACATAACTTTTATTACTGTACATTGTTATAATTATTCTAACTTATTATTGGTTATTGTTGTTAATCTCTTATTGTGACTAATTTACAAATTAAACCTTATTGTAGGTATGTGCATATGTATAGGAAAAAACAGTACATATAAGTTTCGGGACTATCTGCAGCTTCAGGCATCTACTGGGGGTCTTGAAATATATCCCCCATGGATAAGGGGGGGACAACTGTAACAACATTATTGGGGCTTTTGCTAAGAGATCTAATCTGAGTTCAGGCTTTCCTGACTCCAACCTACCCTTTCAGGCATTCTGTCCCCTCTGATTCAGTGACAAGTTTTATTTTACTGTCTTAATTCCAAAAGTATTTCAGTTATTGAAAGACCTGAAAGATCATCCTGTCATGTTAACCTTTCTTTTGGCAAAGTGCAATGTTTTCCTGATTCTGTCCAGTGATGGGCGCTCTTTGCTGTGACCCCCTCCGTGAGAAATGATGGCTCCCCGGCCCATCACTTTGACCCTGCATCCCAGTTTCTTATGATGGCTTTGTAAGCTCTCCAAGGGCAGGGACCATCCTTTCCTCTCCACCACACCCAGCATGGGGCCTTATACCCAGTAACTGCTCAAAAAACAAACCAAACCAAAAAACCAGCCAGAAATTAGTGTAGACATATTTAAAATATTTCTTAATCACTCAAGTACTGACTGTACAGTATATAAATTATGCTTTTTAAAAATCTTCTTTGATGCCATCTTTAGTTATTTCACAATTCCCCTTTCAGTAAACAGTGAGCAGTAAACATAAAAAGATTTCAATTTAAAGATGTCAATCAATTCTGTTTCCCATTAACATGTTTTTTATAATCTCTTTGGTGGTTATGAGATTTGAAGCTACCACATATAATTAATTTTAGAAAAGTATTATGAACTATAATGCCTCTATAATTGACTGTGTCAGTAAGTCTTATTATTCTGTATTCCACATGGATATTCTTGCACAAATTCCTTTTTTCAAAAGGTAAGCATTATGTGGGTTCTGCTTATTTGTAATGTACTGAACACCCCCCAAAATAAGCTACAGTATTTGAAAATATAATAACTGGTCAGCAATACTCATGAAATGACATCAATCACAAATTAAGGTACAAATAGCAAAGCCCTCAAGTTCTCAACAGCTGGTTCTTTGGTAAACAAATACTTTCATCACTTTATTTGTGTTAAATCTAATAACACATAAAGATATCCAACCCCATGCCCGAACCTCCACTCTAACCTCATCTCCAAGACTTCTTGTCGGGTTTCTTCGTATTTTTTCTTCCATTCATTTGCTTCAATCTCTTTAGTGATTATCTAGATTATAATAGAGATAAAGCCTGGTTTTACCCACTTGATCTATTACAATTTAAATTTAAGTTTGGAGACTAAAAGGAATACACAACCAGGTCCATCTGAGATATTCAATCTACATTAAAAATATAAAACCTCAACACATATATAATGCTCATAGGCATTTGGAAAAGTGGACTCTTAGCCACACAGGATGCTGGAATGTAGCCACCAGAGTGAAAGTGAACAGACCCTCTCCTGGGAAAATTCCAAGTGGTAATCACCATCTCTATAAATTTAACTCAGTCCAGGGTCTGGCTCTCAACTCTGTAGGCCCAGAAAACTGATTGGGACAGGACACCAAGAACAAAGCCATCTGTCTGGCAGATAGTCAGTCACCTTAACTAAAGTAGATGCCAGAACACCAATTTTAGTTAGGATGAGAAATGAACCTGCCACAAAATCAGAGTGTTAGAAGTTGGCATGACCAGCGTATTCCCTTTCTGTAGAGATTTCTGATTGCTTGATAAGAATGGGGTCAGGAAAAGGGACTCACACATTCAACACTTCCAGCCAGATGTACCTATCTCACTATAGGGAGGATCTTGTTAGTCAGACTAGAGCCCATATCCCTATTTGGAATGCCCTTGCTAACTCAAAAGAAATTTTTAAAAAAAAAAAGATTTTACTGGGGAATTGGGGAAGGGGAACAGACAAGTTGTTGTCCTTTTGTTCCTCAGTCTAGCCGCGGAGAACGTTGCTTCACTGGCCCATGTTGGTATTATCATTGCGCTCTTCCTGGGTGAGGCAGATCCGTCGCCAGCCTCTGGACGGCCACTCACGGTGGCTCTTGGCAGCTCACACCGATTGCCAGCTGCTCATGCTGGCTGCCGGCCACACACGGTAGCCTATGGCAGCCCACTGCAGCAGGGGCTGCAGCCCACACCGTCGCCAGCGACCCATGGCAGCCCAGCTCCAGGTAGAGCTGCCACTCACCATCTCAGCTGTAGAGGGCAGTGTCACTGGCCCCCACGTGGGATCTGAACCTGGGCCCTGCTGCTCAGAGCTGGCGTCCCAAGCCAGCTCCCAACCAACGCACCACACGGCTGGCCCCTCAAAACAAATACTCTTAATTCATTGTCGCAAACTCCATTTGCCCTGGAAAGGGCTTGGATGGGCATCTGTTGTTCTCCTTTTATTTTACTTCCCTGTGCTTCTCTCTTTCAAACTGGTACATTATTTATTTTGGTGCTTTTGATCAGGATCTCAAGATCCTAAAGCCAGTTTCTCTGTTTCGGGTTACTAGGCACATCTTTGCTTTGAACCATTAGGTGGTCATCTCATAATTTAACTCTCAGGAGGCAGATGAAGTCTTTTTTCTCATTTACAAGATTTTGGTGGGCCTCCTTACCACTGCTCCCAAGTTTTGACAATAGGAGTAGTTGACATCCCTCATTACCAACCAAATGCTATTTTTTAAAACTTTAAGAGACCTGTATCAGAGGTATTAACTACTCTCACCATATTATAAAAATAAAATTGCTATACCAAGAAAATTACCTACTTTAAAAAATGGTGGAATCATCAAGCAAAACACAAACCAAATACATAATATATAGCACAGATATCTAATGGGAGAGTGTGGTCACTGACTAATAGTATATAACAGCAACTTTCATGTTTTTTGGATCACTCAAGAAAGGCTTAGCAGTCATCTATTTTGAACAGAGACTGCTCAAGAAACACAATAAGGAATTTGGGAGTTGAACAGTTTAATTAAAGAATGGATAAAGGTAGGAAACAATTTTATATTACTGCAAGTCTAGAATTTAAGGAATTTTATGCATGAACATATATCCTCTGTAAAATGAAGGTACTGATTTAGTTACATATGTGGATAAAACTGGAAAAATTCTGCATTTAAAATTTCAAGGCTATGTACCCATGTTTACTGTAACACTATTCACTGTAGCGAAGATATGGAAAGAACTGAAATGTCCATCCATAGACGATTAGATAAAGAAACTGTGGGACATATTTACAATGGAGTATTACTCTGCTATAAAAAAGAATGAAATTTTACCATTTACTACAACATGGATGGACATAGAGGGTATTATGCTAAGTGAAGTCAGACTGAGAAAGACAAATACCATATGATTTCACTTATATGTGGAATCTAAAGAACAGAATAAACAAACGAAACAGAAATAGACTCATAGGTACAGAGAACAAACTGACAGTTGCTAGATGGGAGGGGTTGAGGGATGGGTGAGAAAGGTGAAGGAATTAGGAAGTACAAATTGGTAGTCACAAAATAGTCACAGGGATGTGAAATACAGTATGGGGAACATAGTCAATAATGTTGTAAAGACTATGTAGGGTGTCAGACGGATATTGGACTTATTGGGAAATTGTTTCATAGATTATATAAATGCCTAACCACTGCGCTGTATACCTGAAACGAATAAAATAATATCGAATGTCAACTACAATTAAAAAAAAATATAGTCACAGGATGTAAAGTACATCACAGGGAGTATAGTCAATGGTATTGGAATAGCTATGTACGGTGTCAGATGGGTAGTAGACTTGTTGGGGTTACAACTTTGTGAGGTGTGTAAATGTCTAATCACTACGTTGTTTTATACACCTGAAACTGATAATAATAATAATAATAATAATAATAATAATAATAATAATAATAAAAACTTCAACACTAAAAGGTAAAGAAATGTACACAATTCTTAAGGATATTTTGAAGCGTCAGCTTTTTTCCCTGGACAGCAGAATATCAGGACTTCAGCACCTATGTAGCGTTTCACAGGGAAACCTTTATATGAGCTAAACAAGCTGTGGGAAATAAAAACTTCTAACCAGGGATAACTCGGGCCAACAGAGATGGAATCTGCCTGCTGGCACGTGGGCTTTACAAAGAAATGGAGTGATAAGTGGACAAAACAAGAAAGCTTTTACCTCTTCTCTTATCAGGGTGAGCACAGCTGTCTTATCTGATTCACTGAGGCAGATGCCATCCAGGGGGCTCTCTGCTCCACAGGCCACAGACACGGGAGCCTTCTCCATAGGGGACTCCAACAGTCCCTGTGGGAGGGGAGAGGTTACATTCAATACGTTCAGTCTTCAGCTTCTTAAGCCCAAATATTTCCTCAATAACATCCTCATTTCTAGATTGATCACAATTCTTAAAAACATTTTTTGAAGAAAAAAATCAAATCTAGTTATAGTGCTATCTAAAGGAAAAACTTGTTCTAATGATTATCAGTGGGGGCAGGGGGTGATGTCTTAATTTCTGTTGATCAGATAGCCTAGAGAAGTCTTATTCTTATCCAAAAAGGAGAAAGTGTAATTGTAGTGGTCAGTCACCAAAGAACTGCATGCATAAAAAAAAAAGCCATCCATGGTAAATGGCTTATTTTTCAGGGTGTTTCTGGGGATGATGTGTCCATGTAAATAACTTCCCCCAAAAAGTGTCAACTTGTTTATTTTTTTGTACGTATTGATGTTTTGTGTGTGTCTTTAGTGACTTTGGATGGAAATGTTTCTAAAGTGTATTACTAACTTTCAGGCCTAAGGAAGCAGAAATGGTTCATATATCTGAACCCTGACCCCACCCCACTCCCAATGATTCAGGATCATCAGGACTTCAAAAGCTCTGCAATGATGCTGTGTGGTAACCCAGTGCTGCCATCAGGTGTACACCATTATCTGTTCCTGTACAAAGTGGCCACATGTAAGACAAGATCTGCCCCTGCACGTCCCTTTGCTGGTTCTTTCTAGCTATTAAGTTTTCAGTTCCCTTCTGGTAGCACTTCACCTTCTGATGCACCAGCTTGCTTTTATCATAAACACCTCAGGTTCCAGAGAGCCACATTTGGTTAGTATTTTGTTTCTCACAAGAATACAGATTTTGTGCTATTTTCCTTCCTAGAAGGCATTTTTGGGCTATTTCCCCTCACTTATATAAGTAAACCTTTGTATAAATGGGGGGAAAGCTGCTCTAATAACATCCAAAATGCCAGCCAAATGACTTGGGAATAATCTTAAATGTCAGTATAATTAATCAATTAGTTATTGATTAAAATCAATCAGTTCTCTGATATCGTATTTGAACCAAAGCTAAACATAAAGTCCAAGGTCAACTTAGACCAGCGACTTTTAAACTTTTCAGGGTTATTATAGACTTACCCTCTCTATAAAATGCTCAAAAACACACACATAATATTTGCATACAGCTTCACAGACCTCACTGAAGGGCCCAATAGAGAAACTCCAAGCTTAGGCCACAGAAAAGGGAAATGCAAAGCCATAAGCTGGCAGTACCCACTTCCAGCAGCATTTGGGGGGAAGGCAGCCCATTATGCCAACAGAAGTCCAAGGTCTCCTCAGAAACACACTCTTCTATCTTGGGATAGATCTATCCCAAGAGCCAGAAGTCACTTGTGGTAGGCAACCTCTAAAATGGCCCCAATCACCCCCCATCTCCTGGTACTAATGCTCTTGTGCAATCTCTTCCCCTCAGCTGGACCTAATGACTCACTTCTAAAGAACAGAATATGGTAAGTCATGGGATATCACTTTTAAAATTAGTTTACACAATGACTCCGGATTCTATACCGTGAGAAACTCCATGAAAAGGCCCATATGGCAAGGAACTGAAGTCTCTGTCAACAGCTAGGACACAGATGTGGCAACAGCCACATGAGTGAGCCTGCAAGGAGACCCACCCCACGTTGAGCCTGGAGGTGACCGCAGCCCTGGTCAATACCTTGATCACAGCCTGTGAGAGACCCTGAGTCAGAGCAACCCAGCAAGCCATCCCAGGACTCCTGACCCAGAAATGATGAGCTAGTAAGTGTTGGTTGTAGGTAACTCATACACCCCTGGACATTCAAATCATCTCATTAACTTCCTGTGCCATGTTTCTGAAGAGGCTTTCTCATAATCTTGTTTCCCATGGAACTTGCCTACAGGGAGATAATACCCTAAATTAAGCTGACACATTTGGTTCACCTTTGTTGTTATATTTCTAACCTAAACTAATACATTTAAAAAAGTCTTTTGTGAGTGTTTATTATTCTAAGTCAGAATCCCCAAGTCAAGTCAACTCTACAAAATAGCCCCCCATGCCTCCTGTGACCCTTTTGTTAGCAAACATTTGAAAAATAAGACAAAAGTTGTATTAGTAAAGAAAATATCAACATGTATTCTGGAGTTCAGCATCTCATTCACTCACTGAGGGGAAGAGAGAATTCAGTCAATCACATCCTTACAAAAGCTTCCCATTTCATTGTCCCCTAATGCTTCTTCCTGTCCCACAATGCATTCACAACTCAGGACCGAAAAGATCTGTCTATAGACAGCGGAATTCAATGGAGTCCTGGTTGCAAGTTTACAATCAGCACAAATGCCACAAAGTAATTCCCCTTGCTCATGTCCTTGCAGTGAGAGAATTAGCATCACTTATCTGTCGCAGCAGCGTGCTAGGTGTGCTCATCCTGTCAGTTGTTCTTGAACCCACCGAACAGGAGGACCACCCCTGCCGCTTCTCTAACAGAGACAGGATTGGAAAAGCCAAACAACTTTTTTTCAACTTTTAAGAAGTTTAATAAGACTTCTTAAAAAAATTGACTCCTAAGTGAAAAATGCTGCAGACCAGTAACTGAGAAGCACGATGAGAGATTTAATGCCCACCACTCACTGTACTCTGTCTGGCCTTGGTTATTTTGCCCTGGCGACCGACCACCTATGTTGGGCATGAGACTGCAAAAGGAATGTGCTTCAAAGACCCTAGAGAGACTTGAAAAAGTAAGTGCTAGATTAAACAGATTTTTTTACTCGACATTTAGAATATTGCAATTTCTTTATGCAACATTTATTCAACATTCTAAGGAAGTAGAAAATTTATTTCAGGAAGTTCAACTGGGGTTACTTTAAAAAAAAAGATCACAACATACAGTATGTTAGTATGTTCTTCTCCAGATAGCTCTAGAGACAAGTTTCTCCATTTTTCTTTCCACTCTCTTTCCCACCCTTTTCCTATCAATATCACACCACTTTATATTAGCCAAGCACTTCACAGCCTCAATCGTCCATGTCATTGTTTCATTTTATCCTCACAACCACTCTAATAAGGTAGATAGGGGCTACTAACTTTATGGATGACTAAGTTGGGAATCCAGAAGTTTAACCGGTTGGTTTCAAGAATTGGGTATGCCATCTAAATCTGCAGCCACACAGACCAATGCTTTGGTGCACTCAACACAGCCCTCTTCAATCATCCTTTTGCTCTTTTCACACACTGAAAATACTCCAAAGTGCTCCCATGGTACTTGGAAAACTTCCCAAGGAACCGGTTTCCCCAAGTGCACAACCAGGCTGTTCTGGTAGTGGAGTGTGGAGTCTCACCCGCTCAGAGGTGGGGATGGAAGGCATCCCTGTCTCTCACAGGCGACAAAACCCAGGTGTAAACCCATGAGTGGCTGCACTGGCAGTAGATGGCCTGGCTTCCAAAAAAGCTGAGGATCAAATGAGTTTCTAAGCAAAAGTGATTTTGTCTGAAAACCAATGTGACTAATGTGTGAGGCCCGTGTGAGGAAATAATGCTCTCAAGTCCCTATGTGTTATGTGCACGTCTTTCTTCTGCTCTTACTTCCACAGGCTCCTCCTCCACCCATCTACCTTCACATCTGCTTACTCTACCTCCTCTAGGGAAACACCAGGGTCACCGCCCAACAGTGAGTCCTGAAAACAAGCCAAATGGAAAGACATTCTACAAAACAACCGCCCTCTACTCTTCAAAAGTGTCCAAGGCAGGAAAGACAAAGAAAGACTGAGGAACTGCCACAGATTAAAGGAGGCTAAGGAGATGAGAACGAAATGCAATGTGGGATCCAGCACTAGAAGAAAGCCATTATTGGGACACTGATAAAATTTAAATATGGTTCATGGATTAAATAATACTTTATCAGTGTCAGTTGATTTTGATAATTGTACTGTGATTATATAAAATGTTAACATTCTAGCAGTATGGGTGAAAGACTTAAAGAAATGTTTCGTACTGTTTGTAAGTCTAAACGTTTTTGTTTGTTTTTAATTAGCTCGGATTCAGCCTTCCTGCCACCTGCCACACAGTCGGTCAGCCCCTGGAACAAACTCTGTTATTATATTCACCACAGGCTATCGCTGGTTTCCATTTTGCATCTACTACCACTGCTATTCAAAAGAAGTATAATGCAAGCCATATGTAATTTAAAAATTCTCAGTAGCCACATGTAAAAAGTAAAAAGAAACAGGTGAAATTAATTTTAATAATATAGTTTAGTTAAGCCAGTATCATTCATTATCATCCCAACATGTAATCAATATAAAAAGCTAGAGACATTTTATTTTCCTTCTTTTTGTACTAGGTCTTCAAAAACTGGTTGTATTTTACACTTACAGGTCATCTCAGTTCAGATTAGGTGCATACAGTTCAAGTGCTCAGTAGCACATGCGACCAGTGGGTGCTATAGCGGTCGCCTTAGGACAGATGATGAGCCCCTCTGTGTTTTATTTGTACTTTATCCCCATCACCAAACACTGGCTAAAATTTATTTAATGATCGAACATGGGCTTCAAAACAAATACTGAAACAAACTGAGCTCCACTTACCACCCCACCCTCCAAAGTTTTGGAACTTACAGGCATGGCAGATCCATCTTCTTCCATCTTCTGGCTCATCTCTTTCTCTACGCCTAAAACACAGAGTCGTTTTTGTAGTTATCCCAAGTTAGTTCCTTTCCTTCTTGTCAAAGACACTGGGAAACCCCAGTGCAGGCCCAGAATGACATCTATGAACACATGAAGGTCATTTTAAGATTTTCAGAGGAGCACTGGCTTTCTGTTGACCGCTGTGATGTCCATGTTAAAAGTCCAAAATATTCAGAAGAAAGAGGAGTGCAAGTTAGTCAGCCATAAACGGATGCACAATCTTCAGGTGGAAAGAACAGCAAGGCTGCCCCCTTGTGTCTATGTACTAACCATGGGATTATTTTAGAACGAAAACCATAACACTGAATGCTGTTTTATTACCAAGTCTGACTAAATTTAAATTCCACCCAAAAGGGTACCCTTAATCTAATTAGTGTAGCACAGTGGGTCTCAACCTTCCTAATGCCGTGACCCCTTAATACAGTTCCTCATGTTGTGGTGACCCCCAACCATATAATTATTTTCATTGCTACTCTGTAACTGTAATTTTGCTACTGTTACGAATTGCAATGTAAATATCTGATATGCAGGATGTATTTTCATTGTTACAAATTGAACATAACTAAAGCATAGTGATTAATCACAAAAACAGTATGTAATTATATATTGTGAAATATTTATAATTCATGAAGTGTCATTTTACCTCCAATACTGCTGCTTTCAACACAGCAGCTGCTTTCTACACAGTAACTGCTCTCTACACATGTGTGACTGGTCCACATAAGTACATTATGGTGCCAACCCTGTCACATACACCTGTATTTGTACGGGGTGTATGTGATGGGGTTGGCGCAATGATGTCATCACGCGGTACTTGTATGTGGGCATATCTGCATGTGGGCAGACCTGCCTGGAGACGGATACAGGAGTGGTGTCTCAGTTCCTAAGACCATCGAAAATATGTGTTTTCTGATGATCTAAGGCGACCCCTGTGAAAGGTTCAACCCCCAAAGGGGTTGCGACCCACAAGTTGAGAAGCGCTGGTGTAGCAGATAAAATAATAAGCTCTAAATTTTAATGCCTGCAAACTAAATTCATTTTCTACCTCCCACTCTACCACCAGAGGCAACATTTAAAAAAACCCAACACTATGCTTTTTCTAATTAAAGGAATATCCACTCATGAAGACAATTTGAAAATATGGAAAAGCACAAACCATTTTAAAGCTATAATCTTCCACAAAGCAATGGCGAATTACTATTTTAGTGTACTATCTGTCAATAGTGAATTATTTAAAACACAAATGTGACCATCACCATTCTGCTTAAAAATCTTCCACAGCTCCCCTATACCTATAGGATCAAGCCCAAATTCCTCTGTACAACCTTGTTTTCCCATTTGCCCTGTACTCACAGAGAGTTACCGGGCATTTTACCAACATGGCAGGTTCCTTCCCATCCTTGCGAGAGATTCTCATTCCCTGGCGCACACCTATCTATGTCTGTATCTATCAAGACCTAGCTCAGAAGTGATTCTCCCCATAAACGGTCTCTGATTCCTGACAGAGCTGGTCCACCCATCCACCTCCACACACCCCCACCCCTGCACGACCGGGGCCTCTGCCTGCTCCCATGACATGGCTAATCAGTTAAATACAGTGTAACACTAGCGGCTCACTAATGTTGAGGACAGCACTGTATCTAAGAGAACCCCAGCTCCACAAATTTATGCCGAAGGAATTTCCTCCTAGTGAGGAAGAATAATTCAACAGTTATCTTCCATATACCAGCACCAGAGGAAATTCGAAAATGCATCACTCAAAGTCCTTAACTTTAAGAAGTTTATCAAAGATATCCCTCTCTAATTAATACACAAAACAGGAACAGTAAGAGAAATGTGTTGGGAGTGTAAAGCACAGTGGGACTCTAGTGACATTTTTGAGACAGACATAAAAGGATAGGCCGAATTTTTATAGGAGATGGCAAAGAAAGGCATTTCAAATAAAAGAAATAAGAGTAGGTACAAGGATACTAAGGACTATCCACATAACTAGGTAAAAGGGTATAAGGGGAAATGGAAAACAAGGTCTTGGGAAAGGTGTCAGAGCAGAAAGAGGCCTGGAAAGAAATCTGGAATGGTGCTTGGAGCATTTACTCATATTTTATTGATGGGAAACAGACCTGGGGACAGATAGAAGGCCGGAGAATAATGCACACAAAGTCCAGATTTCCACCCACTTCCCTGGTTTGACAGATCATGATTTTTAAAATTCTAACTATAAAGCCCCAAATTAAATTATGTTGCTGAAGATCTGAGTTTTTAACAATGTTTAATGTAGTCAGGAATATGGTACTAAACATTTCACAAGTCAAGTTTAGGTCCAGAGATATAACCTGGGACCTGGAAGAGGGGGGCCTCAGCTCTAGAATGTTCTAGGGGTCCAACAGCAAGAAGCTTCAGCACAGGTTAGTCTAGGTTCTTATTAGAACATTAAGGATTTTCTAGAGCATTGGTCAATTTAAGTCTACCGCATCTGTGAGCAGGAAAATTTGTAATATCTCTAGCATAATGAAAACAATCTCTTCACACTTTAGCACTGTGGTTAGAAGACCATGGAACCAGACTGCTGAGGTCTGAATATTAGTTTTACCTTTTACTAGCCATTTATAAGTGACCTTGGCCAAGTTACTTAATTTCTATGTCTCAATTTCCTTTTCTAAAAAATGGGGGGCAGGGGGGAGAAATAATACCTAGCGAGGAGCAATGAGTTAATACATGCAAAGCTTTTAGAACAATGTCTGCACATGGTAAGGAAATATACATGTTAGTTATTATTACTTCTATAAGCTGAACAAGGAGCGTAATAACCACAACATGGTTACAGGCCACTATACTTTAAGACGTGGCCACATTAAAATAAACTAAAAATTCAAGCAGTTTTATATCTGTCTCCTGAACATTCTGCCACAACTATCCATATGTCCCCTCATATTTGATAAGACACCCTTTTGTGTCTCTTTTCTAGGTAAAGAAGCAAAGCATAGATCAGCATCCTAAATCTACCCTTCAGGTGACCCAATTCTCTAAATCTCTCTAAGGCGTCTTCTACTTTAGGCTTTCAGGCATCTCTACGCTTACATACATTAGAAAGATGAAGATGTGCTTCCATACCTGCTTCTGAGGATGAAAACGCATGATTTATGGTAGACACAGGAACATTGGCACATTCAAAGTACTCCAGGTCTTCCTCTGGCTCACCTTTCACCTCGGCCCCAGCTGATTTCTGACCAGATGAAGTAGACGCCAGTTTCTCCTCATCCGTAGCATGGCCGTCCCTACTAGAAATGTCTGGAATCTGGGAGATCACTGCTCCTTCATCCTGGAAAATGCAACAGAGAAGATGCTACCATTTAGGAGGAGAAACAATAGGGAAAGGGACATCTCAGGAATGCAGAGCAGCCTCCATGCCATATAGATAGATATTTGATAAGAGTTAACCACAGATCTGGGCACAAATCAAGCAAAAAGCTGGAGTCTCTCAATCATGAAATATATTTTCTAGAACCTAGCTTTTGTAATTCAAACCTAAGGTTTGAAAAAAATTAATCTTTCCTAGCCTAAATTTATAAGCAAGAAGTTGAAGAGGTCTAAGGTAGTGAGTGGTTTTCAAGTTCCTCCTAAACTAAAAAAGAAAATCTACGCACCCCATATTTTCAGGTGACATCTAAAAACTTTTCAGCATAAGTTTAAAAAATTGAAAATGATGTAATATCTGGTACAGCTTAAATACTGACCTTGCTTAATTCTATGTTGTTACTCTAATGATTTGATATCCTATAATCTATTTAAAATTGACGCGAACAACCTCTTTATTAGTCAGAAATTTACATCATTGCTTTTCCTCTCTGAATTTGTATTTCCATTCTACTTCCATCAACTCAGGTTCTCCTATTTTGTTGAAAACAATGAGTTGGGAAGCCATCTAGCTTAAAAAAAAATTATAATCAAGTCATTAGAGTCAATTACCTCCTTAAAACCTACACCAATATTTCATATCTCCCCTCTGTTTGGTGCCCCAGGGGTTTCATGTCCAGTGGTAGTGTACCCTAGTAAGATTTAGAATGGGTGAGAAGGAACTTTACCCCCCCACCACCAAAAAAAAGGAAAAGGGTAATTGTGAAAGAGTTTTCCTGTACTCCGGGGACCTCCTTAGATTAGGAAGTTAAGCATCTGGAAGTTGGTTTCCTTAAAGCTTAGTACTCAGATGTCTAGTGGGAAGTCTTCATTAACCACCACTCCACACACCCTGGGGTGGGGATGCAATCGCCAATTTGGGGACCACTGGACTAAGAAACGTTCTGGGGATCGGCATAGACTTACCTGAGAACACCCATCCAAAGCAAGAGGCTGCGTTTCATATTTCTTCACCTTACAGCCACTCCTAGAAGAAAAAAAATAATAACCACGCTGGCTTGGAACCACACTGACAACTTAAAAGTTACGAGATGGAGCAGAAAGCAGTATGTGCAGGTAGAAGCCAAGGCATACGCACCACACAAATCATACATCTACATGTTAGAGATGGGAACACCTTTGATGTCTCTGAATATTCTTCCAAGAGACAGGGCAAGCAAAGGACTACAGCTCAGTTCATTCTCTGAAAAGACCTCTTCACGTGCTTCTATAGGATGTTAAACACAGTAGTACTCTGACTCACCCTACAGTTTTTAATTACACACCACCAAAAGCCTTTCTGAGAGCAGCCTTAGCACCTAGAGACATTCAGTTAATCTGCTCCTTACTCACTTGGCTTTGACATTCATCAGAAAAATTACCACGCTGGACCAGGTTCTTTAAAAATTCTTTATTGCACTATAAGCTGTAGAAGTCTGATTAAGAAGGCTCCAGACCTGTGTGCTAACAGAAAAGAACTGTTAACAAAAGGTATAAAAATACAAGTATTTGTGTAAACTGTTACCATTACTATTAAGTAGTAAGATGGAAAGGAACGTCATGGCTAAAACTAGGGAAAGCTCAAAACCACCTGTTATTTTTAAACTAGCACAGAATTTGTGATCCAAAGACTAGCTCAGATTCTGTTCCATTTTAATGAACTTAAAGTTTCTAGTAATGTCACTCTGACAAAAATAAGAAGAATTTGTAACTTTTTCTTCTGTAGGGGGGAAAAATGCAAGAATATATGTTACCAAAATGTGCGCAACCACTATCTAGTTTGTGATTTTTTCCCTGATGCTTGAGTGCCACCAAACTCGAGTTGACTCAGTAAAATGTATCCCCTGCTCCAACCCAGCAGCCCTATCCTATCAAAAATGCCAATTATTTCCATGGCTGAATAGCAGAGCTGTCCCTCAAACCACCGCTGCGATGATCTTGGGGCCAAGCCAGCACTCAGGATCAAAGCGCCACAGGAGGCGTGCCAAGGCAGGCAGGGAGCAAAGCTCTGGCACCTAAGGTGGGAAGGCCGACCTCCACTCCTTTAGGCACAGACAAGTGCAAGGCTAAGCTGACTTATGAAGTGGCAAATGAAATGCAAAAAATCATCAGAAGGTCAAACGCAGAAACGCAGGCCAACATGCTATGGAGAGATGGTCTAGGGAGGGTGGGAGAGAAACTGCCAACAGTCCTAGGGACAAACAGAAACAACAGCAGGAGTACTTACAACAGAAAACAGAGAAATTTCACTTGTTCAGTAGTCCTGATGCACCAACAAAATAAGAGACAGGAAAGAGACAGACAGATGGAGAAAAAAATCATGTAAAGCCTGGAATATTTATCTCTAGTCTGGTAGATGTACAGGCTGCAAAGTTCTTTCTGTGAGGTGAGATACAAATTAAAAATGTCATATTCATGAATGTTATCACTGATGAGTGAAATGATTATCAGGAACCTCAACTCTAACAGAGTAAGAGTGGTAGACACGTTAAAAAATGCCACATATTCAAATTTATAGATAAAAAAGTAAACATTTTACTGCTGAGCACATTTACTCTTAAATGTCTAGTCATCTAGATTAAAGGCAATGCACGAATTAAAATATAGTTGAATACATATCTGCTTATACCTGTTGTAGGTATGTTTCACTTAGGCGTTTAAAATGATTTTTACATAATTATCTTATTTGGTCCACAAAATCCCAATCATAGTATGATGTCTCCATTTTACAGAAGAATCTGAGACGCCAATCACACATATCTTTTAAAAAGTCACACAAGTAACCTGCTAACAGAACTTCTAACTCTCCACTAGATACTACTAGATGTATATTTTCAGTCTTTCCTAACAATGACGGGATTTGCTAAACAAAATCCCAGAGCTACACAAAGATTGAGCACCCTTCTAGGAAACAAAGAGTTTTGATTGTATAAGAATTTTAAAAATGGGCCGGCCGAGTGGCGCGCTGGTTGAGTTGGCTTGGGACGCCAGCTCTGAGCAGCAGGGCCCCGGTTTGGATCCCACAATAGGGCCAGTGACGCTGCACCCTCTACAGCTAAGATGGTGA